AAGTTAGATTTTAATATTTGCAAATCACTGCAGCTGTTCTCTACATATATTTGGACAAAATCACTGCTTATTTTGGGCAGAGTTGGAATTAAATAGTGAACAACTATCTGAAATCTGCATGGAAAACTGGTGATATGAAGCTTACCGTCCTGAGCATCAAGTTTAGGGAGGATTCCTGTGAACAGGACGCCCAGAAGGGCACAGAGTGGCAGGAAGCGAGGCTTCCTCATCTTCAGGTGAGACAGAGAGGCAACCTGTGAACAGGAAATACAAAAAAACACAAGATTTATGTGTCATTAGCAACATTTTTTAATGTGATGAAATAAAACTGTTAAAAAAATACTAACTCTAAAAGAATGCAATGTCCTGATTGAGCTGATTTCTGTCAGACAAATGATAAAATCCCCTTGTTCCTCCAGAGATGGGTGTCCATTTTGCAGCTCGGGGGCCATTTATGGCCCTTTGAGGGACTTGCCGTGGCCCTCACCCACACAACCAGCACAGATGAATTTAAACCTTTTTTATGTCATTTATATTCATAGTAAAAAAAAAAAAAAAGTAACAGATCCATTTTTACACAGAAATAACTCCATGAATTTGTTCTAAACTAGAGTCAAATGTTTCTGAGCAGATGGAATAAAATAAAATACTTTCATTTATTTATATTTTTGTCACTAGTGTGTGTGTGAGTGGCACATAAACAACAGACAATAGCCACTAAACTAAAAACACTTAACATTTGTTCATTTATTCTGTAACAAAAGTCTTGTTTAAACAAATGTTCAAAACAAATATTTTCATTGTTTTTTCCCTTTTGAATAAATGATAGTCGTTTTTGTTAAATCCTGAAATCAAATATACTGTAATGACCTGGCTGGGGTTGTAAGCCAGGTGCATTCTGGGTATTGTGTTATATGTGTTTCCTATCCCTCTGCTAGTTTCTATGTGTTGATTTGAGTGTTATGTTAATGTAAGCCACAGGGAAGGTGATGTGTGTTCTGTGGAGCGGGTTGAATTAGCATGGTTAACTGACACCGTGACTCTGTGTGGTAGGAGCGTGATAGAAGTTCTGTGTCTGTAGTGTTACAAAGGGTGGAAGAAGAAGCCTAATAAAGGCTTCTTGATGTAGGACTTAAATTTGATGCTCAAATCAATTCTGTGATCCGGTCCAGTTTCTTTCACCTGAGACGCCTTGCTAAAATCAAGCCTATGCTGTCGAGAGCCCACCTGGAGCGGATACTGCATGCCTTTGTAATTTCTCGGCTTGACTACTGTAACTCTCTCTACGCAGGGTTGTGTCAGTCAACATTGCGTCGCCTACAGGTTGTGCAGAACAGCGCTGCCAGGTTCCTGACTGGGACCAGGAAACGGGACCACATCAGTCCAGTTCTGGCCTCCCTGCACTGGCTTCCGATTTGCTATCGCTCACAATTCAAAATACTCGTCTTTGTTTATCATTTCTTCCAGGGTGGTGCTCCCCCCTATCTGGCCACACTCCTGAACAAACATTCCCCATCACGCGCTCTGCGCTCCTCTGACCAAGGCCTGCTCGCTGTCCCTCGGTCTAGGTGTCGTACCCGTGGGGACCGGGCTTTCTCAGTCCTAGCCCCGTCACTCTGGAACCAGTTGCCACCCTCAGTTAGGCTGTCCCCTTCTCTGCCAGTCTTTAAGAATCACCTAAAAACACACCTCCTCCGCTTGTTGTTTCCAGAACATGTTTGATTATGGCCCTCTTTTATGTTGAATTTATTTCACAGTTTTCATTGGAACACTCAATCCATCCACTCAATCCAATTGTGTTTCACACATTTGTATTTTACCGGAATGTTTCATCTATCTTGTTATTTCCATTTTGTATTTTGTAATTTGTATTTTGTAATTTGAATTTCTTTTATTGTTGATTTATTCAGTATAATTACTTACAACTGTACCATGTTCAGCGCTTTGGGCTTCCTGTCAGGGTTGCGGAAGGCGCTTTATAAATAAAGCTTTGATTGATTGATTGATTGATTGATTGATTAAAGGTCTACTGCCTCCTGCTGGTTGAGTTGGGGACTGCCGCTGAGACGCTCGGGGTCACTACAATTGGTGTCAGAAGTGGGATAGGAAACACATATTACACAATACCCAGAATGCACCTGGCTTACAACCCCAGCCAGGTCATTACAATACGTTCAGTCTCACAAAATATCACAAGAACTTGTTTCTCGTTTCTGTTCTGCAGAATGAGACTTTTTTCTTGCTTCAGCTTGAATACACACACACACACACACACACACACACAGAAGCCGAGTGATTCTTCAGAGGTGATTATTTTATAATAACCTGTCAATAATTAAGAGGATTACAATAAAAGTTAGAAAATCTGACATTAGTGATCATTTTAAATTAAAAAAACATGTTTCCTATTTAACTTCAGAGCCATAAATGTGGCAGCACACAGAGTATTTGTTTTCTAATTATAAAGTATAAATGCTTTACCACCATGAAGTTTTAGATGTTAAAGTTGTCAGTGTTATATTTAAATCTTTAACTCAACTCCAAGATCTAAGTAAATTTAGAAATGTCTCCTGTTTGCAATTTTTACTTATTTGGGGCAATAAAATTGTAAAAAATGTAAAAACAAAATTAATATTTAGGTCTAATCTGACAAAGTCATTTTCAATAACTTCACTCAAACATCCTCGTATTTTTTTTGTTTTCGTTATTTTCATTTAAGTTGACTACACTGATGAAACATTGGTGTTAAAATTAGCTTTACCAGGTAGCTGACCTGCTCCAAGTGTCTAAAATCAGAATAAACAGAAATCTGGTTGACCTGTAGTCAGATCCAACAAATCACAACTTTATACAGCTGTAATGCAGCTGTTAAGAGCCTGAACAGTACGCCTTTAGCCAAAAAGAACAATAAAAATAAACAAATCAACAACAAACTCATTCTCCCAAAAGCCGCAACCAATCAGAACATCAATCACAACTTTTCAAGGAAAGATGGACTCTTGGCTGCTGCGACACGTGTTTTCCTCTCAGCCTCTGGAGGGATTTCAGGTCACTCTGAAGCCACTTGTGTGCAGAGTTTGTCAGTTTCAGCCCTTCGTCACCACAGAGGAAATCAGCAGAACGCTGGACTCCTGCTTCCTGACAACAAGGACAGCATGAGGAGTTTCCAGCAGCGATTAAACACAAAAACTGCTTCAGGTCAAGAGGAAAATCATGCAGGCCTTAGGAAGTCATCTTTATCATGATGGTGTCAGGCGTATGGGCAGAGAGCTGTAGAAAAGGCATTCGCCCTAAAACCAGTCCGAGGCTCGTTTACAGCTGAAAGTCACACAGACTGGTGTCAAACATAAACACACTGATGTGTTAGTCTGGTGCTCCTGCAGCTGCTGCATCAACACACCATCTATGGTAGAAAACCGAGTCACGACCAGCAGCTCACACGGGCCTCTTGCTTCTTCTGCAGCGATGATAAATAAACTCATGGTCAGTTCTCAAGGTTTGGGTCTTTTACTGAAGGGTCAGACCTTCACAAACTATTAGAGCATCAGGAAGTAAGTCGGTGTGAGGGACACTTGATCCTTTTTGAGACTGAACTCAATTATTTCAGTGAAAGCTTCGGCTGCTTGGAAGGGAGGCAAGAAGGTTGGATCAAAACTTTTGCACAATCGTCGGGTGTTTAGAAGCCAGATCTGATGCCTGAGCCCAGATCATAAAGTTCCTCAGGATGGGGTCCATCTCCACATGATACCACACACACACACACACACATACACACACACAGGCCGCCCTCAGACATGTGTGGGGCAGATGATGGGAGGATCAGTGATAAATTTTACAGTGAGGGGGGGCAGGCTCTGCAGCTGGAGCATGTTAGAGCGTCTGACACCTGACGTGTGTGTGTGTGTGTGTGTGTGTGTGTGTGTGTGTGTGTGTGTGTGTGTGTGTGTGCGCGCGCGCTCAGACCATAATAGGGGATCCTTCATGTTCACTTATTAAAGCTGACACTCCTGCAGGATGAAAGAGACGATGAGGAAGGTGAACCTTTTCCACGCTCTTTTATCCTGCTGAGTGTTTAAGCTGGAGTCTCCATTAGTTGTGCTGCTTTAATCCATCATCACCCATAAATGGCTGCTGCTGCATGCTTTACATCCCTGATGGCGACTTCCTCTAAAAGCAGGGCTTTGTGTGTAATTCCCTCAGACCCTTTTCTGAAAACTCCTCCAACTTTCCAAACATCTGCGCTGCATCAAGGAGGGAAAAAAAGACGGAAAGTTGGAGGCTGTAGTGGCCATAAAACACGCAAATGCTGAAATACGCTGAATATCTAACAGTTGTTTGTTAAGCCTCCTCCTGGTTCCACTCTGCCAAGAACCGAGGCATAAACAAAGTTTCCAGAGGGAGAAGCAGCACGGTCGGAACGGTGGTGATAAATTATTAAAGGAATTACAAACGCACATCTGAGGTGAGCGTGAGCACCAGAGCAATGGATGAAAAACACATTATTATTATTATTATTATTATTATTTTATCAAATCCAACTAAACCTTTCTAAAACCAACAAATCCGGAGGTGCAGATTAACGACTCAGAACTGGTCAGGGAACCCGCTACCACGTTGATTCTGCTTCTGGTGCATCTGGCCAACGCTTCGGAAAACACTTTCTTCAGACTTTTCCACTTCTGCGCTCTTTTGCAGAGAGGGTGTGGTTCCAGGCTACTGCTGCAGTGGAAGCATCTAAACATCTTTTCTCTCAGTGGTTTTAGCTCAGCAGAGAATTTTCATGCATGCGAGAAGATGCATTCAAGTTTAGATGAGAAGTTTAAAAAAAACAGAGTCCCTGCGCAAGTAAAAAGCTCAAACACAAAAACCTGGGATCACAGCTGAAGATTTAAGCAGAAACGTGTCACCGGTTTTTCATCAACATCTCGTGTTTTATTTCTTTGTATTTGAGCATCTTCAAACATGAAGATCAGCTCACTCACACCCATCTCCAGCCTCTGAACGCAGCTGCTGAGAACTTCCTCCACCTATAGCGGCTCATCTCTTGCCCTGGAAGCACTCTCACTGCTTAAGTATAGGTTTCAGTCGGAGTGCTAAACGCATGCTGTTGGATATTTGCAGGGTACAAACCCAAATCTCAGCTCATGGCTGTAATTATCACCAACATCTTGGGTTCACATGTTGGAGCCTAAACCATTATGGTCATTGCACTATTTCCAGAGCATGCAGTGCAAACTGAGGTCAGCTTTAAGGTCTGAAGACAAACGGAGAGGAAACTCACCCTGAGCTGATGTAGATTAACTCCACTGTTTTGGGACAAAAGATTTAGGAAAACTGTCTGCAAGCTTCGATCATTATCCTCTGGGTAAAATCCCCTCGCAGTGTTTTCCAACACCTCCCTAAGGAAGGAGGCTGAGTGAGGAAGTGATAAGGACTCTGATGTGCAGATAAAAGAGGTTCAGGGAGAAGGGAGAAAAGGTTGGGACAGATAGACACGAGCACCCTCGCGGTCTGAAACCAGAGGAGCTGTGGTGCTGAGATCAAGGATGTGATGGGACAACCTCTCAAACTGCTGGAGTCTTGCCACCTTTCTTTTTCCCCTCCCACTTTCTCTAAAGAAAAGAGCAAGAAATGTAAAGAGGAGGGTGAGTAGTGTGTGTGTGTGTGTGGGGGGGGGGGGGGGGGGGGGCAAACCCAGATCTGTGGCCCTGCTTGGTCTGGAGCGGGATGAGGATAATGATGATGTCACAGATTTTCTCTCCACCTTTATCCTTTGGTCTAATTGTTACCTTTCCTCCTGCAGAGGTGTGTGCACTTGTAGCTTGTTTTAGCTGAAAATACCACGATACTAGTGATGCTAGTGAAAACGCTGATATTGGTGATGCTAATGATGATACTAGTGTAACTAGTCAAACTAATGATAAAAGTCATACTAGTGATACTATGATACTGGTGTAACTAGTGGTACTAATGTAACTAGTGATATTGGTGCAACTAGTGATATTGGTGCAACTAATGATTCTGGTGTAACTAGTGATACTGGTGCAACCAGTGATACTGCTGTAACTAGTGATATTGGTGCAACTAATGGTTCTGGTGTAACTAGTGATACTGGTGTAACTAGTGGTACTAATGTAACTAGTGATATTGGTGCAACTAGTGATATTGGTGCAACTAATGATTCTGTTGTAACTAGTGATTCTGGTGCAACCAGTGATACTGCTGTAACTAGTGATATTGGTGCAACTAATGGTTCTGGTGTAACTAGTGATACTGGTGTAACTAGTGGTACTAATGTAACTAGTGATATTGGTGCAACTAGTGATATTGGTGCAACTAATGATTCTGGTGTAACTAGTGATTCTGGTGCAACCAGTGATACTGCTGTAACTAGTGATATTGGTGCAACTAATGGTTCTGGTGTAACTAGTGATACTGGTGTAACTAGTGGTACTAATGTAACTAGTGATATTGGTGCAACTAGTGATATTGGTGCAACTAATGATTCTGTTGTAACTAGTGATTCTGGTGCAACCAGTGATACTGCTGTAACTAGTGATATTGGTGCAACTAATGGTTCTGGTGTAACTAGTGATACTGGTGTAACTAGTGGTACTAATGTAACTAGTGATATTGGTGCAACTAGTGATATTGGTGCAACTAATGATTCTGGTGTAACTAGTGATTCTGGTGCAACCAGTGATACTGCTGTAACTAGTGATATTGGTGCAACTAATGGTTCTGGTGTAACTAGTGATACTGGTGTAACTAGTGATATTAGTGTAACTAGTGATATTGGTGTCAGGATCTGCTCTGACCCCTCTGACTCTTGGTCCCGTCTACCCCTAATTAGTTGCTTGTTGGACTCACCTGTCCCTTGTTATCCTGCCCATGTGTTCCTGATTATCTTTGTGTATGTATACCCACTGTTCTGCACTTGTCCCTTATCGGATCATTGTTGTGTCTCCACCCTGTTACGTTGCTCCTGCTGTATTCTACCTGCCAGTACTCATTAAGCCCGTTTTATGAGCTGCATTTCTGCCTCCTGGTCCAGCTCCTCCACACCGTACCGTGACAATTGGTGCAACTAGTGATTCTGGTGTAACTAGTTGTAACTAGTGATACTAATGTAACTAATGATATTGGTGCAACTAGTGATATTGGTGCAACTAGTGGTTCTGGTGTAACTAATGATACTAATGTAACTAATGATATTGGTGCAACTAGTGGTTCTGGTGTAACTAGTGGTTCTGGTGTAACTAGTGATACTGGTGTAACTAGTGATACTAATGTAACTAGTGAAATTAGTGAAACTAGGGATTCTGGTGTAACATTTAGTAACATTAGTGATACTAATGTAACTAGTGATACTAATGTAACTAGTGATACAGGATTCCAGAGGCTCACAGCGACTGTGACCTGAAAGGGATGTATCACACACAATTTATTATTTGTTTAAAATTCCAGAGACTTGAGCGTGAGGCCCTTCAGCTCATGTTAGTGAATACTGAATCTGGAGCGCTACGTGGCAGAAACACAGGAAACTAAACCCATCCATCCATCCATCCATCAATTTTCATCCGCTTAGCCGGAGTCGGGTCACGGGGGCAGTAGCCTAAGGCGAGAGGCCCAGACTTCCCTCTCCCCACCCACTTGGGCCAGCTCCTCCGAGGGAACCCCAAGGCGTTCCCTGGCCAGGTGAGAGACATAGTCCCTCCATTGTGTCCTGGGTCTACCATTAGGTCTCCTCCCAGTTGTACGTGCCCAGAAAACCTCACCAGGAAGGCATCCAGGAGGCATCCTGACCAGATGCCCGAGCCACCTCAACTGGCTCCTCTCGATGTGGATGAGCAGCGGATCTACTCTGAGCCCCTCCCGAATGGCCGAGCTTCTCACCCTATCTCTAAGGGAGAGCCCAGCCACTCTTCGGAGAAAACTCATTTCAGCCGCTTGTATCCGCAATCTCGTTCTTTCGGTCACTACCCAAAGTTCATGACCATAGGTGAGGGTAGGAACGTAGATCAGCCGGTAAATCGAGAGCTTCGCCTTCTGGCTCAGCTCTCTCTTCACCACGACAGACCGGTACAACGCCCGCATCACCGCAGATGCAGCACCAATCCACCTATCGATCTCACGCTCCAGTTTTCCCTCACTCGTGAACAAGACCCAGAGATACTTAAACTCCTCCACTTGGGGCAGGACCTCATCCCTGACCCGGAGAAGGTATTCTACCCTTTTCTGAATCAAGACCATGGTCTCAAACTTAGAGGAGCTGATTCTCATCCCAGCTACTACACACTCGGCTGTGAACCGCTCCAGCGAAAGCTGAAGATCACGTTCTGATGAAGCCAACAGGACCACATCATCTACAAAAAGCAGAGACCTGATCCTCAGGCCACCAAAATGGATGTCCTCCACACCTTGGCTGCACCTAGAAATCCTGTCCATAAAGGTTCTGAACAGAATCGGTGACAAAGGGCAGCCTTGGCGGAGTCCAACTCTCACTGGGAACGAGCCCGACTTACTGCCGGCAATGTGGACCAAGCTCTGACTCCGGTCATACAGGGACTTAACAGCCCATATCAGAGGGCCTGGTACCCCATACTCCCAGAGTACCCCCACAAGGCCCCCCGAGGGACGCGGTCTAACGCCTTCTCCAAATCCACAAAACACATGTAGACTGGTTAGGCAAATTCCCACGCACCCTCCAGGACCCCCCTAAGGGTATAGAGCTGGTCTAGTGTTCCACGGCCAGGACGAAAACCACACTCTTCCTGTATCTGAGGTTCAACAATCCGACGGACCCTCCTCTCCAGAACCCCTGAATAGACCTCACAGGAAGGCTCAGGAGTGTGATCCCCCTGTAGTTGGAACACACCCTGCGGCCCCCCTTTTTAAATAAGGGGACCACCACCCCAGTCTGCCAGTCCAGCGGGACTGCCCCCAATGTCCACGCGATATTGCAGAGCTGCGTCAGCCAACACAGCCCCACAACATCCAGAGCCTTAAGGAACTCATCCACCCCTGGAGCCTTGCCACAGAGGAGCTTTATAACCACCTCAGTGACCTCAGCACCAAAGATTTGAGAGGCCAACCCAAAGTCCCCAGACTCTGCTTCCTCACTGGAAGACGTGTCGGTGGGATTGAGGAGATCTACGAAGTATTATGCCCACAGATCCACAACGTCCTGAGTAGAGGTCAACAGCACACCGTCCCCACTATAGATAGTGTTGGTAGCGCTGTCGAGGCAACAGCGATATTTACAAATAATGATGAGAAGCAGCAAGACCAAATTTAACTAACAGGAAGAGCTTCAGCTGAGTTCTGATTCCATGAAGGCTAGATGGTCAGCTGATCTGAGGACCTGAGTGAGAACGTAGGGCTGTAGGGCATTTATGACCCCGCCCCCTTTCCAAAGTACCAACCCACATGTACAGCAGTAAATAAATCATTAATAATAATAACAATAAACACCAAATTCCCGATACCTTGCTGGGAAAACACGAACCCTGATAGCTTCGATGAAGGAAGTTCACTAATTGTCACCAGTAGCAGCGGCTTTACTGGTTTTCCAGGACACAATAGTGCCACTTTGACTGAACTGGTTTAATTTAGTAACGTCAGCATGTTGTCTCACTATGAAGAGTTTATCGAAAGTCACATAAACATTTAGACCCGTGTGTTTAGTTTATCAACCTGTTGAATGTTGACTGAAGAGTGAAACTTTTGAAACATCTCCAGAGGGCCGAACTGGGTTAAAACAGATTCTGTTCTCAGCGCTGCTCCAAACTCATCTTTATTTCTAAAATCTCTGAGGATTAAAGTTAAAAGCTAAAAGCCACGAGGGATCATCAGTGAGATGCAGATGGCTTTCTCAATTTATTGATTGATTGGTCTACTCGCCCATTAAACGCAGAGTCCAACATCCTACATCTGGAAGTGTTTAGAACAGTGGCCCAGTTCATCTGTGTTCTGCTGTCTGAAGGTCATTACTCACACTACCACATTTCCTGTTCAGTTCTGCGCTGTTGTGATGTTGCTAAGCAACAACTGCTGTAGCTGCTAGAGGAAAAAATGAAGAATGATAAGCAGGCGAACCGTCCCTCTGGACCGATGTAGGAATGTCCCAGAATGCCGCAGAAAGAGGGAATACCAGTGAGGGAATACACGTGCATGTTCTCCACTATTGGAAGTTTCGTGTAAATGTTTGTCTCCGTGTAAATGTATTTTTGACTTGTTTATTAGAGTGGATAATTAAAACCTTTCATCATGACTAATTCAAGGTTAAAGTCACAGATTTCCACTTTTGCTCCAGATTTAGAAGCAGAGCAGAATTCCTCTGTTCTTCTTCTTCTTCCTGTCTGGAACTTTTATGTTAAACATCTAAGATCTTTGAATCTGATCAAACATAAAGGAGAACGTGTCTCTGGCGTTTAGGGTGTGGCTGTAACTTCACTGGGTTTGTGGAAAGTCTGAAAAGCAAAGGAGCACTGAACACATTCTGTGTTTATATTATTACCAAGTAGAAACTGAAGAACCCACAA